TAAATTAATCGATCAAAAAATATATCCTATAAACAAAAAAGTTTTAATTATTGGGACAATTTTTTGAGTCAGTGTAGTTAGTTCTAAGTAGGTAAAGGTTTGACCAAGTTTAATACCAGGAGCAATTGTAATAGCAGGTAAATTACCACCAGCATTAGATGTCGCTGGTGCATTATCTACAGGTTCACCACCAGCTATAGACCAGTCTTCATCCCATGTTCCATTCTGAATAATATCAGCACCAGTTGAGATACTACCAATTCTACCAATTTCTGCACCAGCTTTACCTTGAAATTCTTCAACAGTATTCAAGCCACAAATTTGATTATCATCATTTACCCTTAACACGATTATTATACCAATTAATGCATCACCTGAAAGGCATGATATCACCAATCCAAATGCCTCTTCTCTTCCGGGGCCTGACCTGCACCAGGTGCAATATTTATTCGACTAGCTATTATATACTATATATTTACATCTCTAAGCCAATATTCTAGATCTTCGCCAGATCGTCCATAAATATTGGGGTCCGTATCCTACCATACCTATTTGTTGTATGTTGAGTGGATTGTTCTGAAGCGCCAAAATTTGTGCCTGTAAATTTAAATTATTCTAGTGCTTTGCTTGAGTCTTATTTTTCCATTTCTCATATCCCTCATAGTGCCTATCTCGATTATAAATAATAAACCTATATATGATGGGCATTTGTTGATATAGGAGATGTAAGGCAAATTTTTCTTGTAGTAATAGAGTTTGCTTTCCTGTTATATTGCCTAATATTCTATTTACTTGACTTTGAGCATTAGCCACAATTACTGAAGATCACCAACAACCCTGTCCATTGCTCCTTCAGCAAGTTGCCTTCGTATAATTTCATTATCACGCTCAGACTCTGCGCCATAACGTATTCGTTACTCACAGACTAAATCCTGTTGCAATGTATTATATTTCGACAAATTTGTCTTGTCCTTTATATTTGATCTACGTAATATGTGCGGTTCTATTATCCGCAAAACCATCTATAGTATTTGCTATCTCTACGATAGTTTCCATCTCCAAGCCAACATTAGAATTATAAAAGTCGGGAGAATTCCCTCGTTCTGGCGAATTTTTTCGTGATGAGATGCTCTTGATTCGGCATTAAGAATTTTCAACCTGCTCTTCGAACACTAATAATTTCTTTTCTAAAGAAGAAATATACTTATCCTTATCTTGCAGAAACTTCTTAGCTTGATATAGCTGATTTTTTAGGCTGGAGATTTCAGACTTCAGTTCTAATATTTCTTCTTCTAAAGATTTTCACGGTGTTCTATCTCCCTATTGAGATTTTTGATTTCCTGCTCACATCGAGCATAATCCCGTTCCAGTTGATTAATACGTCTCTCATTCTGGCGAATACTATCAACTTCTATCTGAAATTCACTACAAATATGATAGTTCTCCAGCTCAGCTTTATGTTCTTCACATGTTCTCTGCCTTGGATGAGGCCTCCGAAATGCCATTCTTTTTTGTAATTATAAAAGAGAAACGAAATGAGCCAACCGCAAATTTTGATACATCCAGATGAGGCTCAGAGAATTGGAAAAAAATATCATATTGCTTGATATATGTTATCGTCCAACCGGGTATTATTATAATCTAAAATTGTTGAGAGATGCGTGTAGGAAAGAGGGCATCAATTCCGCCTAAGTAAATGCAAAGATTTTTTTAGAAAATCAGAAGTCGTACCAAACAAATAAATCCTCTCCGAAATACATTTCTAAAGTCGGTTATGGGAGAATAACACGCCCTAATTGTGTACACCAGTGTGATATACTATTTATATCTCATTGTCACTATAAAGGTAAAAAATGTAAAGCAGTACTCAAATTATAGACTGCGCTTCCCGATATAAAGCTTCTGTTCCACTCACATCGAAGAATAGTTCAGAAGTTACTAAAGCATTTGGGGAAGTATATGGGAATCGAAATAATCCGTTGGCATGGCCAAAGCTTTTACAATATGATGGAGGTTGTGAATTTATGGGTGAGACCCCGATTATTGCAAGAACATAATGTCATAATTCGAGTAGTCAGCCCATATAGTCATAGAAGAGTTGCATTTGTAGAGCGTTTCATTAAGACCCTCGAAAATTCTATATAAGATCCAGTATGCTGTTGAATCAATATCTACCAATCCTAAATTAATAAGATCATGGGTTAGATACAGTATATACCAATAGTTATTGATTACATAAATCGCGCCTTATTCGAGAACCGTGATCATAAAAGTGAGGACTAAAGCCAGTGAAAGCCATTGCATTGGAACGAATGAATCTAGATCATCTACAAAATACATTAAAGAAAGGAGATACGGTCCGCTATCTTCTTGCTAATGCAGAATGTGAGGGTGGAATGGAAAATCAGAAGCGTGCAACTGACCCTACATTCATTCCAAGTCTTCATAAAATCCGAAAAGTGGTTGTCATAAAGAGTGAACCAGTTTCATATTATCTTGATGATGGATATGCACAATCTCGTGGGTTTGTGCAAGAAGATCTCATGTTAACAGTCGACCCAGAAAAAGTTGGGTATCCACCCCAAAGCATATTGTCTGCGCATGTTGCTTATGCCACTAATAGAGTGATGTATTTTCTTGGCAATTTTCCAAGACCGCGCGGTCCCGCAAATTTGCAAGATTATTTTTAGAATATGATTAGTAATAGTTCGACATGAAAATAAAGAAAACTTGAGCCAGTTGAAAGTCTAGTGTATCATATTAACGAAATTAAAGATACCCAAAAAATACAATGCATATTCCAGTGTTCCCAATGGCCTTTCACTTTACTAATCTGTTCCGTACTAACTCAGGAAAAACGAATGAGGTTCTCAATCTCATACTCAGAAATAAGCTTTATCAAATGTTAAATGGGAAGAAGGAAAGGACACGCTATATCAAGTGTGATAACTTACTACTAATCGGTACAGAAGAGGGAATCAGCCACCCATTAATCAGAGCCCACCAACTCAAGGAGCTGATATATACAGTATGTACCTCAGATCAGCGTTCCAGATAATTGCAAATAATCCGAAGCTATATCGTGAAAATATTACATTCCAGGCTTTAAAGCCTTTTAAAATTCCTAAGGTGGATTCATTTTATCCGGATAGAGGTACAGCGACTATTTTCAAAAATGTATGTGCTGATCCGGAAAAAATGAATGTTTGCTGAGAGGCGACATTATAACATCAGTTCGATATACTGTATGTATCCCAGAGTTACTTTGACTTCCCAAAGATAATACGAAAGAATCTCACACATGCCTGCCTATTTAACGGGTCGTGCACTACTGACGAGCTAGTCGGAATTGTGCGACAATATGCTAATGACTGTGATTAAGATTATTGACAAGTCATTATGTGAGCAAAAATTCCTTGTTTTCGATTTAACTGTGCCCCGCGAGCATCCACACAGAATATGGCTAGGATGGGACAAAATTCTCACTAATGAGTAAAATCTGACTTCATAGATGCCAGCTCCTTTTCCGCCTCCGCACTTTTATCTTAAGATCTTCGATCTCATAGCGCATTTTCTTATTTACATTAACCCGCTCTCTATATTCCTTTTCTATTTCTCGCATAAATTTCTCAAAAGTTCGTCTATTATAATTGAGCAGGTGCTGGGATAATACTTTAAGTTCGTTCATAACCCTCTGATTGTATTCTTTCCCATATCCATGCTTTAGAGCTTCCGGCCAGGCAATTTTTCGGGTTGGACTCCAATGTTAGTAACATACAGTATATGGCCAGTGATGCTGGGAATACAATACATTCTGGCCAGCTTCGAGAACGCAACAATTTTTTCTGAGTCATAGACTTGCGTTTCCTATATTTAACGAATTCTCATAAACTTCTAATTTACGCCATCAATTCGACCATGACTTCCCAGAAATCATTTCTAATGGAACAGGGTTTTTAGAGTGATTAAAAGACCTTGATATATCTTTTGACTGGGCTACCAGGAAGTCTATCAGTAACATGTTTATAGTCGGAGTGGAACATTTTATTAGATATGCGCAAAAAAAAAGTTTGCATGCAAGAAATAGGCCTATCTATAGCAAGCAGATGGCACTTCGCGCCAATATCGCGAGTTACGTCACATCTGGTAGGGGATTGGTTAGGCTCTGATCGTGTGATCAATGGCTTAACTGTTTTATCAAATGATACAGATATCAAATTTTTTGGCCTTAAGCTCAACATTCTCGGTCCTAATTTTAACATTCTCGACCTCAAGCTTGACAATGCATCGTTTCAATGAATCGATCACTTTAGAACCATATATATCAGATTGCATACTTTCGTAACGTAGTATTGGTATGTTAATATTCAAAAATAAAAATTTACGTGATTTTTGGCGAACTAAGCTCGCTGAAATTTGCCGAGAAAAGTTTTATTATGTATCAATAAAACGTTTTACATCGACTGATTGTCATAATTCGTCAGAATTTTTCTCGCCTTCTTGGCAAACTCGTGCGCATAATACATATCATCTTTGAAACATTGAAGATAATGGTTCATATTTTGACTCTATATATCGCAGGGCATTGATAATCGACCATTTCTTCTGTAAATTATGATAGAAGTAATCATTCGGTAGTGATTTAAACATAATTCTTACATGTACAGAAAGAAACACGGACTCATCTAATACGGGTAATATAGGGAGCACAAGTGTAGCTAAATGAATCAATCGTGCCACATTAATAGTCATTCACTTCGCTCCGGATTAACAAGACGTGTTATTATTCGAGAACTCTTTCACACGCATTCCCTACTGGCGTATGGCCATTATTTCCTACGTTAGATGTTTGGTGCTGATCTGTAGCATTTCCTTGAGCATGCGCGTTCAAGGCATTACCCGCATATTAGTGTCCAGGTTTGCGTTGTGTATACCTACTGGCATACGGCAATTACTTCCCGTGTCAGATATTTGGAAGCATTCTGCAGGAATTTCCTTATGCATGCGTGCTTAAAGCATTACTCTGCATGATGTTCTCCAGTATACCGTGACTGAAATGCCAACCGCTATTGTCCTTTACAAAAAATCAAAGTAAAGTTACAATATTTTAGCTTACAGATCTACTTTCTTCTCGCGAAATTGAATTTATTGCTTGAACAGCCACAGTTAAGATAAAGCATAAAAAATTTTGATGCACACAAGAAATTCAATGCGCAAAGTGCACAAAACTTTATTAACAATTTCAGATCAGTAGCAAATTGAGAGAATAATAGAGGATTTCATAGAAACATGTGATGCTATCAAATAGGGAAGGAGTACACGGATCCTAGGTCATTTAATGTGAGTCTCAGCATCAAGTTATTTCTTTGCTCCCTCTTACTTTCGAAAAATATCTACAGCTGATTTGTTTCTATTGCTAATAACCACAGGATTCTCACCCCACACTCTTTTACTACACTATATTTCCGAAATTAATTTCCCAATCCATATCTCATAATTTTTATGCATCTATATCACTAATACTTGCAAAGACTATTTAAGATTATTCCACGCAAAAGAACTTTACCGAGGTAAAAAAATTTCGAATCTACAGCGTAAATTCAGAAGGTTAGCAACTGAAGTGAAAAAATAATTATTCCAATTCACACTTACTGACATACAGTAGTTCATTTTATTCCACCGCATATACGAGTAAGAGTAATTGATTGCTTGATTTTTTATGCGTTATCGCTGGAACAATACTACAAGAATTCGGCACGTGATTCTTATTCCGGAAAAATTGTTTGATACTGCGTCAGACTTTTGCTATTCCATGTGGATAATTTCATTGCGTCTATTGTACTCGTGATAGTCGGTTATTTCCTCAAAATGCCGATATACTGTATAATAAGAAAGGTAATATATCTGTTTTATTTTGGAACATCTATAGGGGCAGGAAATCGGTTAAGATCGCGTTGACATGTTTCAAGAAGCTAGCCGAATAATAAGTCAAATTACCTTGTTATTGTTTTGTGAAATATACTCGCTTGTCCGATCAAGGCTCTTAACGATGTAAATATTGGTAAGTTTGATTGGATCTTGTTTGTTCATTTGATTTTTGCTTATATTTGCACAAGACGGATAAAGGGTTTACGAACTGTCTTACCTTCTTTTTATATGATTTGTAGCAGTTCAAGAATCTAATTTGGAATATATTTTCAGGGAATTGTGATGGCATCACGGAGATCAACGGATTCTCTCAGATACATAATAAACATTGATCGCTAACCATATGGAATCAACAAAGGGGTCTTTTATTATTATTATTATTACATGAGTACCTGCAAGAAAGTTTGAGAATACTACGTGTTTGCAAGATGTTATAGTTAATTTATGTAACATTGCACAGCAATCATCGCGCATTTATTGGGATGCAAATGCAACTACGTACAATCTCTCAACCTCCATAACATACTATGCGGAATATTATTGTGCAAATATATTGTACCCGATGCACCTTTGCTTTATTGATTGTAAATAAAGTACATAGATCATGATACGAGTTCGTTTGATACAATTATACATGATGCCTAATAAAGCAGTCTATCTATCCACCTCCCGATACTCGCTATGTTCATTGCACGGTCTAGCATTTTTCTGACATCATTTCAGGTGATATGCTACGATCGCAAATTTGAATTTATTGCTTGAAGTGAAGCAAGTAAGACAATATCCTGTTCCATTCCTATAGCACTCACCATATAATCCATAATTCCCATGTTTTCCATCGCAAATAGGACATGGTGAGCTCCACGGCTGAGGTGATGCAAAAATATAATTATCAATCCCTCTAAAGTTATTTCGGAATTTCAAGTATGGGAAGTGCTCTAAGACGAATTCGTTGATTAATTCTGGACCGGGTCTGGCTCCGAAAGTAATAAGTTTGAAATCAGAGGTTCGAGATTTTGTTGTCACGGCTTTTGATGATTGCCATGCTCATTTCCAGTTTCTTTTTTATATTTTTTGTATAAATTGGAACGAATCTTATCTGTCAAAACGCTTGATAATCCACTTAATTTGGCATGCCAATCCAGATACTCAGTTGTTAGTATTTTATCGGACTTGGTCATGTTGCTGTTTTATAATCAATTTAAATTACGTAAATTGTCGACATAAATTAGCCCTATAAAAAAATCGTTTCTCAAAAGAAACGAATGAGACCATGCAACTATCTCAATTTCACACTTTTGCACATTTAATAAAATAGGACCCGGCCTCATAACTACCTTATATGCCTTCCTCATCATAATGACCTAACTTACACAATGGGCATAATGTCTCATCAGTCATTCCATAATAATCGAAATATTCTACTAAATTCTTTATATGCAATAAGTTGCTAAAATATGCCCGGTCATAAGTGTGACTAGATTGAGGTGCAGATAATACATGTACATTTGCTGATGTATTTAATTCCAGTTGATTTCCAAAGTCGACGGAACATTTATTATTCTTTCGTTGGTTTGAGATTTTGGTCACATGATTGTCAGGGCCTCCGGATGAAATTTCAGGAGTTCTGTTTGGAGAAATCATCTACGATCTCTTGAACTTTGTCATTAGTTAACTCCGAAATAGAGTTCGCATTATAAGTTGAGATATACTTAATGTTGTCTATACCTAAGTTTTCAGATATATTGTATATTTTTATGGCTTCCTGTGTTTTCCCTTGCAAGTATTTACGTGATACTGTATTTCTGGGAGTTGTAAACCTGCGTCTTCAGATCTCTTTTTACAAAGAACGGAAAGGTGTTCCAATAATTTATCGTAGATTATCTCCTTTGCCTTTTTTTCGCCGATTTTACCCTTACCATCCTGTGCAATTCCACTAACCTGAATTAAGAACTCTTTTCCACAAATATCAGCGCAGAATCTCTTCCCGATTAGCATCAATTGCCTTATCAAATAATTGAGCCACTGGTATAATTTCATTTGCTGTTGGTGCCTTTTAATTGAATGCCGGTAGGTAAGCAAAAAAAAATATTATTCCATTCATTAGTCAAGTATCGAAGTCAGATAACGCGTTATTATATAAAACAATGGAAGAAGAATGCCCTAACAGATAATATAAGGAATATCGCTTTACAATAGATCTGTAGCCCGAATAATTTTATCATACTGTATACAGTATCAAATAAATTCTGAATATAATCTGGGATTGTGTGCTATTCGCTCTGATAGAATCAAGAGACGTATTTATTAAAAATTTATCGAATGTATAAGTATTTACCATAAGCATATCGAATATCTTTTCCATTATCACAATATAAACTCTTCCCTTGTTTGATACGAAGGTAATTTGGAGAATGCTCACTATCATATGAACCAACCAAGTGATGATGTGCGTGTTTATTATTGATAGCTTTGAACTTCAACCCATAAAGCTGAATTCAGTAAACCATGTTTCGCACGAATCGTTTTTAATCCCGATTTTTTAGCACAGTGCGAGTGCGACGCATCTGTATTAATCAAATCCTCGAGTAATTTTAGATACTAAACCTTGTAGATAGGATATCGATTCCGGGAAATCCAGGCGCGTTTTAACATAATTAGCTTTACAGCGTGTCCTATCGTCAATGTCTCTGGCAGGTGTACAATTTCTTGGTAACTCCAGACAAATTCAATGTCTCTCAGCTCGAGTAGCTACAATAAGTTATCTTCTCTGTAATCTTTACGGGAAATGGTCTCAACAGCCATTTCATTGTTAGTCCCAGCATCTCGTAATTGTTTGTAAGCTCTGATCCATGTCATATGATTATAATTCCCATACTTCAAGATAAAATCCTCTGCCAATGATTCAGGAGAAATCTCATACAATCTGCAATGTAATGTAATTCGATCTAAAGAGCGCATTTCTTCTTTGACTTATTCACCAAAAATACAGCAGTTTCACGAACGATAATATTAGCATTAGTTACTGTATACCTGATATTTCCTCTGCTTTAACGATAGAACATTTCGCTTTTACCACTTGAGATAATGTATTTTCCTCAGATTTAGGATCATTTTCTATTATTGAAACTTCCATGCCAGCTTTTCAAAGGAAATCAACAATCCTCCACTCAAATAAGCGCTGGGAACGAAATTTTTCCAACATATATGCCACCCACAATCGAACATTTGGTACGTCCTTACTCTGGATAATGGAATCTACATCTAGGAATATTCCTCTATTCTGAAGTTCCCGGGGGAGACATTCACGTTTAGCACTTAACAACCATTGGAATGTCCCTTTTTTTGAAATGGAAGCGTTAGAGGTTCTTTGCTCGATATGACATCCGTAATCCTAATGCATCGCATGCGGAATAACATCTGATTAGTTCCGGAATTTGATTCTATAAACTATTAAAAACAGGATGCTCGATCAAAACTTTGGATTAGTGCAAGATACTCCGATTATAAGAGTACTAGTATATGCAACCAGGTCCACATCGCTCCATGATTCCTCTACGTTACCGAAGCCATGGGCCTTCTCTACTAAATCGGATTTACCATGATATTTCTTGATCCGTAATTCTGGAAAATCTTAAGGGCACGAACAATCCTTTCTAAGGTGGCAGATAAGTGATACACTGGTCGATTCTCAAAAGGTAATAAAGACGTCTGCTTGGCCCAATCCCAAAGTTCGGCTAACACATTTCTTCATTAGGAGCCAAGCGGAATGTCTTGCCCTTCTGAGGCTGGTAAGTATTATGAATAATAGAGTAGATAATAATAATAAATTCACATCATCAGAAATAGTGAGATGTTCAGAACATATGTTTTCCCAGTATCCCAAGACGACACTACGTAAACATCACCTTCATCAAGTAATATTCCTGTGTTTATTGTACAGCATGCTGTTGGGAGTAGTCTTGGCAAGACTTAATCTGTAGGTTCATATCTCTCCTCATGTGTTTCCGTCGATGTAAGAGTATCATTATACTTAACAGATGGCATTTTTACGAAGGCTTTAGGAAAACATGGAGCTTTTGCCTTGTGAGATGATTGCGGAGAATTTTTATTTTCTTGCTGAATTTTTTCTGCAATAGATGGGTCGCATTCAAAAACTTCCCCACGCTCATCACTATTTTACAGCTACTAGCACATACATGGCCGAACCACCGCTGATCCTTGTCATGTACGCGTTTGCAGAGTGGGAATTCTAGTGAAACTTCTAGGTTAAAATATACGAAGATTTCTGATTCCTTTTCTTCGATAGTCCAATCCTTAAGATAGTTAGAACACATTTGCAAAACTTGATCCGCACATTCTTATAATACAGTATATCCTGCCCCACGAATATTCTTGGCATTTTATTATTTTTTTTTCTGTACTAAGTATTCAATTCAAAGTCTTACTTCAGGTCCTAAGCTAGTAGGTGGTTGAACCCTAGCGTGATCGTTATCTATTGAAAACTGAAGGATACGCTTTACACGTCCTTTTTTGCTGGACCGATAAGGCGAAGATTAAAATTTTGACCAGGCAATCTTCTATAAATGTATTTGCCAAATTTTTCACCAGTTAAACTATATAATAATTCAGTGAATACATTTGAGTTCATAATGATCAATAAGGAGAGCTGGTGTGTATAAAATATACTTGCTAGGGTCCGATGATGTAGCGATCACAAATCCTTGAGAATCTGCAATCAAAAATTCGATACAAGGCTTTTGTGAAAGAGCAACAGATTCGAATGAATACTTCTTGTGCTTTAACACCATTTGTTTCCGTATCTTCTTTCAAAGCATCAATGCTAATTACGGCTATTAAAGGTTTTTGATCGTTAATACATTATGAATTTCCGGCAGACTATATACTTCTGAAACGTCATCTGTGACAGAAAACTTTTGAGCCCGATCGTCTTGATCGATTTTGATGACCAATTTATTTTCAATTTCATCTCGATCATAAGCATTATACAAGCTAGATCCGGAGATAATCCAAAGAACCTAAAATATCTAACATACTGTATCTATATGTGGTGATAAGGCAGTTTTTTGAATTTCATTTAGCAAATCCTTATAGAAAAACTTATCGTTGAACTTTTACTGCCTTAAAGTGTATGTCGCACTAGCCTTTTGTTCTTTTACATTTGATAGCTGGGCTAATAGGGTCTCGGTAATGCTGGTTGAAGCGCAGGGAGCTTCTTCATTATTGGACCACAATTAGATTCATTATCAGAATAATTACTTGAGTCGATTAAATATTCATCGGAGCCGTCGTAGCGGGCGAGAGGGCCGGTTCCAGTGCGATCAGTTTGGTCAAAATAGTTGGGGTATGCATGATAAAATTCGGAAATGTTTAATTTATTTTTTTTCGATAAATGCAAAAAGATACGTATAGCAGGTTGGCAAGAGAATCGCGGATAAATAGATTCTTAGCAAGTGGGTTTGGAGGATTCTTCTTTGTAATCATTATATAAAATATTGGAAAAAGAATACCCTAACACCAGTGACGGGAAAGTACCCGAAACCGAAGGCGCAGTAAATTATTATAACTTCGATTAGCATCATGCCATGATTTCGGTCAGAACTTTAGGTTGGCGTCTAAGCTGGCATAGAAGTGGCAATTTTCAAATCACGTGTCCTAAATATCGGCCAAAATTATGGCATAATGTCGGCCGAAATCCGCCTGTCACCTTTTTTATACTACTTCAACATTTTAAAAAGTAAACAAAAGGCACGCATTCTTAACGTAGAACTAGTATCCAAACATGCACAGAGAATTGACATCCCCAGCATATAACCAGGTATCCAAATAAGTATAGAAGAACAATGCCAACAATGGAAAATTTGATATATATTGTAAATAAATTAAAAACAAAAAGAAAACAATTACTATTGGATTAAGAAATCACCATTAAATTAAGGTACTATCAGTTATAATTAGACATGAAATTACCATTACATTATACAGTGAATGACCAAAACAATACTATAAATGCAAAAAAAAGTTATTCAAAGAATAGATTATGAAGTTATTATTAAATTTATATATTAATTTATAAAATTATTATTAAGTTATATAATAAGTTTATAAAGTCACTGCTATATTACAAAGTTATTTTTAAATTAATAAGTTACCATTATATTATATAAGCTATTAGCAGGCTATAAAGTTATTATTATAATATATAATTATTAGTAAATTATAAAATTATTATTATAACTTAATTTAAGATATATATAACTTTATATTATATATACAGTATATTAATTAAAAATAAAAATCAAAAAAATTATAGTTGTTATTTTTGTTATCTTTAAAAATAATAATTCAAATATTTATATAATATTACTTTAACTTTCAATATATTATTTAAAATTTTAAAAAATTTATTAAGCTAGTTTGAATTAAACAAAATATAGTTTAAACCAAATATTATAAATTAGATTTAAAGGATATTTTACTTTTTTGATATATTGAATTTAATTTTATTTATTAAAATTATTAGTAATAATTTATTATATAGATTAACTTAAAAAATAATAATTTGTTAAATTAAAATCTAGAAAAAATATATATATAATTTATATTTAATTTATTTATTTTATATTTTTTATATAATTAATTTATAAATTATTTCAATTATTTATATTTTGGAAGTAATATAATTATTAAACTATTATAATAAAGAACTCTTTTCATTGGTCTTTTATATATAAATAAAAAATATATTAACAAGAAATTTTTTATTTATTTACTAATAAAGTTTTAATATTATCCTTAAATTAACTTGAAATTTTACCTTAAAAAATATTTCTAAACCTCTTTTCTTATTTATATTTAGACTTAAACAAAAACTTGACTTCTTGTGATCTAGAAAAGTCAAGAAACACCTTCTTTACCTATGGTAAGAAAGTTTTACAAGGAAGAAAAACTAATAGTATAGTACTTAAAGTCTTTATATTGAAGTATATTTATAGAGATATATAATGGAAAGTAACAAA